AATAAACGTTTTTTAAAAAAGGGGGGGGGGGGGGGCTGAAAACAGATTGTCCAAACCATGTAGTAAATACTTATATGCAAGTTAATCAAAATCAAAATTTAAAAAGTGACCTATTCTCAATCACCATTATTCACGTAGAGTAATTTGACTAATTTCAACACTCCAGCATCTATAGCTTAGTCACACCTTTCAAGTAGCATGTATTGTTTATAACAGCAGTTTTCAAACTTTTTAGAATGAAGGTACTCCTTGTTAGCTGCAAGGCACCCCTTGGAAAATGCCAGCTTGTAGCTTTCACGGTTTTGTGTCTGTTTTTTTTGCCTATAGAAAAACAACAGAGCAATTCTCTTTCAAAGAACAATAGTAAGTATTGGGGAGCACCCTTGAAAGCATCTTGGAAGGACCATTCTGAAGCATCTGTTTTTCTAAAATGACCAGTCTGCCATTAATCTGAACTGTAGCTAAAACAGGCTGCCAGCATACCAGGGATTCTTTTTAAAATACAGGTACTTATAAGAGCACTTCAGAGCAGGAAGACCGCTTCCTTCTTATTTTAGCTCTATTTCATTCTGTAGTTATGTCTGTGCATATTATAAGCTCCTGCAGCATGGAAATCAACACACCTGTACAATTTTCATTGCATCATATAGATGGACAGATAAAAACAACACAAGTTCGAAGTTCACACCTACAGGAGTTTCTAATATACATAAGTATAAATCTGAAGTTAAGTTAAACAACATTGGGATCAATACTATTTACCTTCTTATGAATTCAATTTCTCCACAATACAAAAAAATTCTTAAACCAAATGCCTAAAATTTTAATCATCAAACTATACTTCAAGTAAGCCAATTTTATCATGCAAATCATTTGGTCCCATGACTAAAGATCCCACCTAGATGACTTACTAAATTATAGTGTACTACTAGTGACTAACTGCTTAATTACTCAAAAGAAATCTGCATAGCCCAAAAGTCTTTCTAAACTTTATGAACATTACTGCACTGTAAAATAAAAGAATGAATTTTAGCAGCTTTTAAATGAGCATCCACAGTCTTCCCAAGAAATGGCTCCAGAGTACTTTCTGTTCCACTTGTTACATGTCCTGGTCCCACATCCTGTTAAGGTTACTGTTGGGTTTTTTAACAAAATATGCTACCGGTGGTCCAAAATTACATTTATAAGCTAATCTTGGTATGAAAGTTTATCATTCCAATATGTTATTCTAATTAAGCAGTCTTTAAATTTTATACGAGTTAAACCAAGACATTTGTTTAACTTCTATCGTTCAGGCTGAGATCACCACCAAATACACGTAAGCTCACTTCTCCTTCTCACCTTTTTCTTTTAAAGAAAAGTCAAAGGAAAGAGCGTATCTATGACCTGTTCATGGAGCAGTACCACAGTACCTAAATACCTGACACAGTAAGAATAAAGTATTATCAATGCAGAATGTTGTCTAGATAAAGAATGCTCTCATGGACTAGAATAATGTTCATGGTGGTGCCCTGAAGTCTGGCTCAGTTTGAAAATTCAGACCCAAATTCAAGAAACCATTTAAGCCCATGCATAAATTTAAGCTGGTAACTAAGTAATTTCCTCAAATTTCTCAAAGTTAAGTTTAGTAAAATGTTATTTTTTTAAACCATACTATGACAGGGAGCCTAGGTGTATAAATTAAATAGGCAGCACAGAACTACTAAGCAAAACAAAACTGTTGGGTCTGACAGTGGAAACAGGGTGGGAAGAGAACCTAGCCTCCAATTTTTACAGAAAATTGCGTACATTTCTTTTTTAATTACTCATGCCAAAAGATATGCAATGTGTAAATTTGTTCATCAAGAACACATCTGTTTTCCCTTTAAATAGGTCCTTTCTAGACAGTTTCTCAAACTTTCATTTTTATCTATAAAATCTGCATCTAAAAAGTTCATTTAAAATGAAAGATAGCTAAGTCTGGATAAAGTTTTTATCTGATGGTTTGCTTACCTCTGAGGGGGAATATAAGGAGCAGATACTGTTGGCATAACTGTACAGGGTTCAACCACTGCTTTCTTGGCCTTTTTTGTCTTTTTTCTGACTTTTGATGTGGACCTAGCAGTTCTGACTGATCCCTCTTTTCTACACACGCCATTTTTCATTTCAGCTTCGCCATAAATGTTTAGAGGTCTCCGTGTGCAACCTGGTGGAGTATGTACATCACAATAGGCAGTCTTTTTTACAGAGAATGTTGTCCCACTGCCTGTTAGTTCTTTCACAGGTTCCATTTTCATATACAACCCAGCCTTTTGAGCACATGTCACATGGAATGCTGTATAGCAGTTTGCTTTGTGGCACTGGATGCAGGCACCAACTCCTTTCTGTTTACAGAGGTAGCATGTTAACTTCCATCTGGCTGGGGGAATGTTCCTGACACCATCAATTGGCTCAATAAAAACTGTATTGGCAAATCCAACTTCTGGAATCCACAAAGCGCACACAACATGTCCCCAACGGTCATCATCAGTCTTTTTAAAGGCACCTCCCTTGTTTGGGCATAGCACACAGTCTACAGGCCGAGAACGGGACTGCAGACAGTGTCTACAGAGCCACTGGCCCTCAGGTATATATGGCACCCCATAGCACTCCTGATGTACTGCTAAATTACACATATCACAAAACAGAATTACATTGCTGTTCTGACATTCACCATCCATGCATATACAACACACTGCATCTTCATCAATTAAAGACTGATGATCACCTTGTTTTTGGTTCTCACAATAAGACTCTTTCTCGAACCTGTCCATAAGGAATTCAAACATATTTTGTGACACGACTGACACTCCATCACTTTTTCGTTTTTCATTTATTATTTCTAACCATGCATAATCTTCTTCATCCATGTCATATTCCACTTCATTGTCAAGTTCTTCTGATGACTTTTCAATAAATTTATAATAAACAGGAGGTCTACGAGGCGCAGAAGGTGGACTGTATTCAACAATCCGTACTTTTGGTTCTGGAAGGGGACTTGTTGAAGTGGGTATACCATGTGCACTTGGAAGAGCTTCATTTTTCTTTTTCACTTTGTTATTTTTATGCCGTTTGGCTCTCAAACAAACTGGTGGCCTCTCACTGTTTTCTTTATTGCTGTTGCATTCACTCATTTCCTGGGCAGTAACATCATCTTCTAAAATAATCTCTAGTGGATCAAAGATACTGATCCTATGCAGGCGACCTTCAATTTCTATTTCAACCATTCTTTGAGCTTGAGCATATGTCAAGGTTTCTCGTGTTGGGGAGTGTTTAATACTGCATGGGGAAGAAGAATGCCTTGCTGCAGATACTCGATGACATCTTCCTTTCCTCCTCATTTGGTAACGATTACCTAAAATTATAGCCATAATTACTATACTGAATGGTAAATATTTATCTCATAAATTACGAACATGTAATCTAGTAAAAACCTTTCCAGTATACATATAGATACACACTTTAACTTCATGCATATATATGTCAATGACTAGTATGGATTTGAAAACTGACTCTGGCTTAATGACTAGCAGAGTTTGGGAAATTACTCAAAAAAATCCCTGTCTTGATCAGACTCTTGAAATGAATTTCACCTCCTTTGCTAAATTAAAAAAAAAAAAAAAAAAATCACTCAGGCAATGAGTTGAAAGATCACAAAAATTATGCAAACTATAGCTTGGTGGGCGGATTTTTGCTTCTGCCAAATATCAACAACTACCTAAGGGTGGAATCAAGATGCACCAATTTGATAATGGCCCAAAAACTGTTTCCAAAACCCACCTACTACAGTATTAAGCTTGTGGCATACTATAACAGAATTAATGACACCAATACAAAATTGCTAATGGTTATTTATCTTTAGCTTTGAGAAAAACAAGTCTGTTTTTGTGGTCTAGCTGATTCAACATCAGAGGAAAATTCTATTCCATAAATATGTTTACACAAAGAATATGGATGGAAAAATGATTATATAGTTTTATTTATTTTTAAACATTTATGGTCTTTGTATATATTTATCATACCTTACATAAATTGTACACTTAACTCTTTATAAAGAGTCACAAGGATGCACACATGCCTAAATCTGAAAAGTATGTCCTTTCTACACTCCCGTTCCTATCCTATCCCTAAACACCCGGTTGCTATCCCTGTCCCAAAAAATTTACTACTCTGCATGTTTTCATACATGTGAGCTGCTGTCATCATCTTCCATTTTTACTACTAATTCTACTTAATACAAATTGCTATAGAAAGACATATAATACACAGTACAACATACTTTTACCACATAGGATGTACAAATTTAGAACACTGGTCCACCTATACACAGCTCATTTTTCAAAGGATTACTAAAAATAGTGTTTTTTGCACATTTGCATTTCAGATCAGACCTGCTCATCTGACAAGTTTTAAAACAATTTTTCCTACCGTCAGACGTTTACCCACATAAAGTCACGTACTTGATTATTTGTAGCATAAAGGCAAGATGGGAAAGCATTATTAAGGAAAAGGAAGGAGCAGGAATGCATATCATCTACTTAGCATCTCCTAACTCCTAAATCTGGCCCCATTTTCCAAATTAAAAAAAAAA